GACAGAGGCCAAGGTAACAGTTCCCCATCCCCCACTCCCCACACCTGGCTCCAGGCCTCATGTCAGCCCTGCCCTGGCTTCCCATCCTCCTAGCACCTGCTCAGACTATCTGTTTCTGCAGTTACCTGCACCATCTCAGCCTGGCCTTGCCTACACCAAGCCCTACCCTGCCCAACCCTCACTCCCTTCAGAGTTGCCCTCCTGCCCAGAGGTTCTCTGTGGTCCCCACAGGGCTGTCACAGTTCCTCCATAGGACTCTCAAAGCCCTTCTACTCCCAGCCTCACCCCTTCCCCTCCACCCCCGCCCCACAACCATCTGCAGCTTGGCCATTGCCCTGACCTGCTCCTCACCTTCCAGCCTTCAGAGCTCTGCTCAGCCCATTCCTGCTGCCAGGATGCCCTCCCCATGCCTCAGGACCTGGGTACTCCACTACAGCCCTCACAGAACCTGGCACCAAACCCTAGGACTACCTCACCTGGAGCTCTAAGCCTTGGGGCAGAGTGGGAAGGAGCATTTCACGTGGGAGCAAAAGCAGCTTCCATGAGTTGGAAAGCACCAGACATGACAAGGCAGCAGATGAGGTGGCCAGGAGCCAGGTTATCTCACTGACCACCCAGTCATTGGCCACACAGAGTTATGTATCTAGCAGCTAGATAGGGTGGGGAGCACAGCACCTGCATGCCAGGACATCCTCCCCAGGCCACCCCAGTCCGGGCGGGAGTGTGTGGTAGATAGAACACTAGAGGCATCTGCAGGCGAGGAGGCCTAGCTTTCCCAAACTGTTTGCACACCTGCAGGGATGAAGAGCTCGTTACTTCCTCAGACAGCCCCTAAGTTGGGGTGCAGCTCTGCACAAGTAGAAGTTCTTCCAAACAGAGCTGAAATCTGTCCTGGGGCTCCCTACTGGGCCCCGTACTGGCCCCACAGTTGCTGTGTGGCAGCCCCTGGCAGGCTCCGAGTCTCCTCCTCCAGACCTGGTGGCCTCAGGACCTCAGCCCTTGCCTGAAATCATCTCCTTAGGGCACAATGGTCAGATAACCTAGCACCCCCTCCCCTCCCCCAACTCTAGGCCAGACAGGCCACCCACAACCTGATACAGATTCTGCTCAGAAAACTCAGAAACCTGTGATGTGGGCTTTACCCCAAACAGGCCCCTATCAGAGCCATAGTGCAGCAAGCTCAGCTCACCCAAGTGGGAGCGTGGAACAAACCCACCAGGCTGGAGACTCCTGAAAGTGTGGCCTGGGTTTGTGACCCCCAAGGACACTCAACTCCCAGGATTTCCCCCAACTCACATTCCTCCTGCAATTGGGGAAACAGAATGTGAACTCCTAAGGGACCCTTATTTTCACCTGCCCTAGGCTACCAAGCCTACTTGGTGGGGGGCCCCATCCACTGCTGGCTGGCTTTCCAAACTAGAGAGCCTGAGACTTCAGACTGACATCTGTCTTAGAAATGGGCAATCCAGGGTGGCCCTTGTGGCTCAAAGAGATAGGGCACCAGCCCCATATGCTCGAGGTGGCAGGTTTCAAACCCAGTCCCAGCTAAAAACTGCAAAAGAAAAAGAAAGAAATGGGCAATCAAGCCAACCTTGACTAGTGCTTACACTGTCAGCAGAACCGGCCCTGCCAGTTCTCAAAGCAAAGATGTAGGCCATGCTGTCCCAAAATGGCTCTGAGTGATTTGTTGAGGGCAAGTAATAAATTCTCCAAGGAATTTATTATCTTGGAGACTCTGCTGGTGTAGATTGACTCTTGATGTCTACTCCAAACTGATCCCAGACCCCTGCTACAGGCTGAGTATGTATCTCTCTGGGTGTGTCTAAGACACTTGTTGGGACTATTGTGGGCTGGCTGAGCATGAGGTTAAGTGCCCGTGTGAGATCAGGATTGGGGGCCCTGGCCTCAACAACTCTGCTCAAGAGCCCAGTACCCCCTGCATGGCAGCCTTTCCCTCCAGGGCACAGATCTAGATTCTCTCTCAGGCCTAGGCCTTCCCCTCTGCTTTCAGCCTGACCTGATCACCATTACTTGCTGGCCAAGTGACAATGCAGAGATATGTGTCATGGAGAAGCCCCAGGGCTGCCCACCAGCAATGACACCAAGGACTTCATCAAGGTCACCCTTCAGGTGGCCCAAAGAGCGCACACACTAGTCCTCCTACTTACTGTGGAGCTAGTGGGCCCTGCCCTCTGCCAGACTCAGAGGCAGACAGGCCTTTGGAATACACCCACCCCACCCTGGT